AATATTCGAAGCTCATCCATTCAAAGGCGAAGTTTGTAAGAAGAAAAAAAATCATATAAATAATTTCTTTTGTTAAAATTAAATTTCTATTCTTAGTATTCAGTCAAGGTGATGAAGGCAAATCATGGTATATAATTTTAAAAGGTTCTGTTCAATGTATTTTATATGGTAAAGGTGTTGTTGGGACACTTCATGAAGGTGATGATTTTGGTAAATTAAGTTTAGTTAATAATTCTCCAAGGTAATTAGAACAAAAAATATGTATATATTCAGTTAATTGATTTTATTTTTAAACAAAAGAACTGCAACAATTATTTTAAATGAAGATAATACACATTTTTTACGTGTTGATAAAGATGATTTTAATCGTGTACTTCGTGATGTTGAAGCAAATACAATTAAATTAAAAGAATTTGGTAAAGATGTTCTTATACTTGAAAAAGTTCCTATTAATGTTAAAACATCAGATGGAACATATCAAGTTTGTTATAAGTATGTTTACAGAAAATAAATTAAAAATATTTCATTCGATGCTCTATTATACAAAATAGATATTCAGTTATGTCTGGTACAGCTGAAAAATTACTTGGATATTTACTTGAAACATATATTTGTGTTAATTTTGAAGAAGGTGATACAATCTTAGATGATTTTTTTGCGACTTATGTTATTTTTATGCCAACAAATCAAATATGTGCAACATTACTTTCAATATATAAAGCTAAACCACATCAACGTATAGGTGAAAATATTGGTTTAACATTACAAGAAAAAATCAAAGTTATAAGATTTATTCTTGAATGGCATGATACAACAAAAGAAACATTTTTTGAAGATCCAAAAATAAGTCTTTTTCTTGATGTATGTGTAACGGAAATTGATTAAACAAATAAGAAAAAATTCGAAAATTTTTAGGAATTACATCAATTAATTCGTGTTGATGTTAAAGTATATCCTCAACTTAAAGATGAAATGAAAACATTTGAATCAATAATGGAAAGTGATGCGTAAGAATTCAAATTTTTATAAAAACTAAATTAAATGAATTATTTCTAGAGAACCGAAAGAAACACGTAAAAGTAAATTACCATGGAAACAAAGAAATAGTATAGATAAACCAAAAATGATACGTTCATCTGATGAAGGTAAATTATTTGAAAATAGAATAATAGTAAATGATTTTTGTTTTTGTTTAATTAGTAATTTTCAAAGTTTATTGTGCTGATCATACATATACAACTATGAAAATGAGAGTTGATACACCTGCTTCAAGAATTATTCGATTAGCAGCTGATAAATTAGGTTTACGTTCTGATCAACCGGATGATTTAAAATTATGTGAAGTTAAATCTACTGGAGGTTTGTTTGAAGAGAAAAAAAAACACCAAGTTATGAAAATATTTTTTTTGTATTTATAGAAAGACTTTTATATAAAGAAAGTGATCTAAGTATTTCATATGGTTTATCATTGAATGGTCGTTTATTTTTGGCACCTGGTGATCATCTTGATGCTTTAGTATGTTAAAAATATCTATTATTTGAGTATAGGATTAATTATATCTTGACAGACATGCTAATGTATAGATAAGTCATGTTTATTTTAAATGATTCATTAATTCTAGCAAAAGACATGACCTTTGGAAATAAATATTGAATCAATTAGAACAATATACTAATTACACTATCCTTTCTATTAATAGAGTTTAAATAAAGACTGAAAATATATAAAAATTCTTTATTTGACTTTAGGTACCTTTACCGGAACAGGAAGGTCCACAACGTGGTACATGGCAAAAACTAGAAATGTTTGGCTCAAAAGAACTTGCTTATGCTATTACAATGCATGATTATGAATTATTTATGGCTATTAATCAAGTATAATCCTATATTTTATTATTAGAACGAAGAAAAAAAACAAAATCTTTTTATTTCTTTTTCTAGCATGAACTTCTTTATCAAGTTTTTGGTCGATATAAATATAATAAAATAACTGCAAATTTAGATACATTTATGAGACGATTTAATGAAATACAATATTGGATTGTAACAGAAATATGTTTAACACCAAGTCCTGGTAAACGTGTACAACTATTAAGAAAATTTATTAAACTGGCATCTTAGTAAATATAGATTAAATTTTGAAAAACAAAAAAAAAATCATTTTATATTTAATTAGTTGTAAAGAATATCGAAATTTAAATTCATTTTTTGCTATTGTAATGGGTCTTAGTAATATTGCTGTTAGTCGATTATCACTTACTTGGGAAGTAAGTAAAAATTAATTCTCTAGAAAAATAAATTTATACAATATTTAAATAGAGATTACCAAGTAAAATAAAACGTATGTTTTCCGAATTTGAAACTCTAATGGATCCATCACGTAATCATCGAGTGTATCGTTCAACATTAACAAAACTTACACCACCGATTATACTATTTATGCCATTGTTACTTAAAGGTATAGATGATAAAATATGAATTATTTTTATTTATTTAATTTTTTTCTTATTTAGATTTAACATTTACTCATGAGGGTAATAAAACATATCTAATTGAAGGTTTAGTCAATTTTGAAAAAATGGTAAAAATAATCTTCTTATTTTTTGCTTTAATAAATTATACTGATTTTATCTTTATTTTAATGTAGAGAATGTTATCTCATACAATGCGTACATTAAAAATATGCCGCAGTCAAACATTACGTAAGTAATAAAAATGAGTTCGCATTCGAAAATTCTTTTGCTAAAAACTTTAGCATACAGCGAACGGGAACCTACGTTTAGAGCTCGGCTCGAACGGATTTAGACGGTGTCGAATAACCTGATAATTCTTTAAGGATTTTTTTTTCGGATATATAATCTATTTTAAAAATAGCCATAATGTTCGGGTATTCTCAAATGTCGTTCATTCAGTCTGGTGCATACACCTATGTAAAATGAAGAGATCATCATTACAGATACAGAGTATTTTTTAGATAGACCTTTAAAGATAAGTTATTATATCATTCTCTCTTAAATTTCAAGTAAAGACTTGAATGGTATTATATATGTTATCTATTAATAGAATTACAAGTCCCACAAGGCGCAAAAAATCTTTCGGAAATACAAGAATATGTTCGGTAAGTAGAAATATAGATGAATATAATCTATTCAAATCATATATTTTTTATAGCGAATTGGTTGTTATTGATAATCAACGTATTTTAAATCAATTATCCAATAAATTAGAACCAAGACAAACATAAATTTTTATTGTAAAAAAAAACTTTGTATAAATGTGATTTTCTAAAACATATCTACAAAAGAATAATATTTATTTTTTAGCTGTATTTATTTTTTTTTTCTTTGTATTATATTTCTATCAGGAAAAATAAAAAAAAATTATATATATACAATAAAACCTCCCTAATGTGTACACCAGCGGGACCGGAAGAAAGTGTTCATTATACGGAGGTATTCACTATAGAGAGTTAATATATAATATGGCGTGAAATGGAAGAAATCTTAGAGTATTTGCTTATGCCTTTGAGTAGCTGCCTAATTTGAGCTCGAATATAAACGGATCTTAAAAAAAGAAAAACTAATACCTATTTCTAGCAATAGATTTAGTTTTAGAATAATTTTCAGACAAATCTGCCTTACCCACCCCTTAGTCGTATATATGAATCATATACATCTCAGAGTAACACTAAACCGAAAACTGAATCTATTCCTAAATTTCACTATTTATTTCAGAATTAGTAGTGTGCAGTTGGATATCTGTTAATATTCGAATTCGATTTAGGCAACTCATCAAAATATATGACAGGAAGTAGAAGAGATCAAAAAAGCAACATATATATGTCCCTGGCAAAATTTGCTTTTCTTTCCGCGTGAAAATTCGAATTGTATTTTTTTTTTGGTTGGGAAAATTCGTAATAATT